AATCTCAACCCGACTTCAGCGCGGAATAGTTCGAGCGATTACAAGCGGCGAGGCGAAAAGCAGTGTAGACGCCGCAAAGATGTTGCAGGAGAAGCACGGTCTGGCTGTAGATCTGAAGACGGTCAGGAACTCGTTACGATCCGCAGGCTTGATCACCGTGCAGCATCCCAAGAAACCCAAGCTCTCACCAAAAAACATACGCGATCGACTCGATTTCGCGAGGTCGCATGCCGACTGGACGCTGGAGGACTGAAAGCGGGTGATTTGGTATGATGAGACTAAGATAAACCGTTACTGCTCCGACGGACGTGCGTACGCCTGGATTCGCGAGGGCACCAGCCTCCAGAGCCATCAAGTCCAACAGACAGTTAAGCATGGGGGCGGTTCTGTGATGGTGTGGGGTTGCATGACGTATGAAGGGGCGGGGTTCATGTGCAAGATAGATGGCAGGATGGATGGGCCGCTATATCGTAGCATCGTGCAAGATGAGCTCAAAAAGACCATCGATTTTTTCAAGCTCCCCCCCTCAGAGGTCATTTTCCAGCACGACAATGATCCCAAGCACAGGACCCGTCTAGTCCAAGACTGGCTTGGGGAGCAGGAGTACGCGGTGCTGGAATGGCCCTCGTCCTCCCCAGACCTTAACCCGAGCACCTGTGGGCACTCTTGAAAAGGCAGCTGGCGGCGTACGAAAAAACACCTAGTGGAATGCTGGAGCTGTGGGAGAGGGTGCAGGAGGAATGGGACAAGATACCGGCGGAGGTGTGTTCAAACCTCATCGACAGTATGCCAAGGAGGATCAAGGCAGTGATTCGCGCAAAGGGACGCTGGGCTAGGTACTAGGTACTAGTTTGCTACCTTTCCTCGGTACTAATTGTCCGGATGTGCTCTTATGATATGCTTAGGTGTTTAAGGACCATGTATTATATTACTCTGGTGTTTGTCGACTTGAATGAGTTCTCTAAATGATCTTCTCCACATGTATGCATATCATAAATTAGGCTTAATGTTTACGCCGCTGCACTCATCAAAATGCAAAAAAAAAGACATAACATGTGGACAATTTTTTCCGTCACTGTAACAACTGGTATAAAGCTACGTTCCTGCCCATTAGGTTTCCGGTACGGGAGCAGACCCTATCGAGGAAGGGGGCGGAAGGATGCTGATGGCGAGCAGACGACACAGAGATTAAGTACGCGGGTGTTTTCGATGCAGTCAGATCGTGTCTGATGGATGGTTGGGATTAGTCGGTCCTCCCCTTCCCCGATCGTGGGCAGAATTATTTTCTCTCCTGGTGTGGCGACGTTTTCGCCATGTTTTTCGGGTACGTTCATTTGAGCTTTCGTAATTTTCGGGTGTTCTGAGGGAGTCTTTGGATTGGCTTCCGAAAAAAAAGAGAAGGCTTCGTCACGAGGAGACAAGTGCGCGGGAGTCCTCAGGCGGCCGGGAGTTGGTCGGCAGGAGCGCGTTGGGTAGCAAAATTGGTGGGATGTACAGCGATGTACGTCTGGCACGCCATGCAGCAGCAGGGTAAAATGCAGCTGCATCGCATATTGTACCGGCGTTTTCGACAGGCTAGTTGCACGCGATAGACTGGACTTCAAAACTGTTTCGGCAATGGGCCGATCCGACAATTTCGGAACGACACGATCTCACGAGGACGTGTGGGTGTGCAGTTGTGTGGGAGCAGCTGGGATTAACGACCTCGACGCTATTCACATGTGACGGCTATCTGGATGTGATGACGCTGTGCTGGGGTTAGTGTACTCAGTGATGGCGACTTCCTTTTTGGGGAGGCGTTTTCGTGGACCAGCGATCCATACCCCCACGGTCAACGGAAACGGAGGCCACCGCCCTCGGGTGTGTATTAAGTGTTTTCCACCGGGTCACCGAAAAAGTTAACTGCCAGGAGCAGAAGCAGTGGAAGAAGAACGATAGGAGTACTGGAGCTTAGTTAAGGGCTAGCGGCGTTCGGACTGCTGCTCGCTCAGCTACGTCGCCCGAATATCACCATCCCCACCAGGACGCAGCGTAGATTTGTCATCGACCACACCTCGCTGAATAAGGGGGGTGAACCTGCAAACTACACTGTGCTGATAAAGTGTCCCCGAAATTTTAGGAGTTATTGCAGTAGCGGAGCTGAGGGTTTCACCTGGTGCAGCAGATGGAGTTTCTGGAGTTTTCGGGTATAGTTCGACGAGTTTCCGGCAGAGGAGGGAGCTGTCCAGCGGTCAATAGGCGAGCTCGTTAAGCTCCTCCTATCTCTGCAAATTCTCTTAGTTAGTTAAGCAGCAGTGAAGCAGATTTGGGGTAACCTGCAGCAGCCGCAAGATGGGTGAACGTCTGCACGGCCAGCTGGTCAGGGGTACTAAAGAATTTCTGGTGCTGGGTAACAGCTGGGCAGAGATCGACAGCGTATGATGCGCGTTGACCCTGATCGATGGCCAAAAGATTATGTTGAGGTGGTGAACTCCGGTGTTCCCTAAAAGAAAGAGTTCACTTCATGCGTATAGCTGGTGGGGCAACTGTGGGGGCACTGCTAAAGGACGCCGTGACACCCGAGTGTTTTTACGGGTAGCTGTGAAGCAGTGTTGCAGTCTTGGTGAAGTATCGATGGAGTTTCGACATTTTCACTGGAGCGGATCATGGACTTAAAGTTGGAGCAGTACCCGTATCATCGGAGGTACGAGCAACATCGACCGAATTTTGCAGAGTTTTTTTTTGTACATGGAGAGGACGGAGAGCAGGAGCCCTTTTCAGTTCTTTCCAAATATTTTGGCGTGTATGGACAAAGAGGCTGATGCAGCTGGCGTCATTTGACCATGAGTTCGTCTCGAGGCTATTCATTGAAGCGATTTGGTACAAGTTTCTTTCCATCGCCATCGTCGTCAAGCTCTCGCCAACGCTCGCTATTGCCTTCATCGACCGTTCGCTTACCTTCGCTTGCCTATATGCGCACGACCCCGACCACCATCGCCACCCGTCAGGAGCACTGTCGGATCCACTGTACAAGAATTTCGAAAGATGGGAGTATCTACGATACAACTGTTGGAGCTGTGTTGTTGCCAGCTCGCACGCAGTGTTTTCCTCGTAAAGAATTTTGAAGTTCTTGTGGGAGTCTTCTTGAGCAGCAGTTGCGGACTTTCAAGACCTTTGAAGAGTTTTACCCTGAAGAAAATATTTACTCGGAGCAGATTTTGGAGTCTCATGGTTCGAGTTTATTCGCTCGGGGATATATTTCAATGACATCTTCGAAGTTGAGTATGCGAATTTTACGCAGCAGTGTTGGGTATTCGATTACCCTGGAGCATCAGGTTTCTTGGAGTTTTTACCTCGGAAGTTGAAAGCTATTTTTTTCTTTCTTTCTTTCTTGTAGTGGGGGAGAAGCGCAGCTGATGACGTGTTCCATTATTCATCTTCGACCTACTAGCATGTCAGTTACGCTTCCGCGCCTGACCTCGTCAATTCGCTGATGGAGTTCGCTGATTTTTGTGAGACACTGACGTGTGCCCTTGCATGTGTGACAGACGACCTCGCGTGTTGATGAACGGATCTTCATCATCCGACAATCCACGTCATTCGGCAGTCATCATTACGGAAGATATTCATTCAGCCACGCGCCATCATCAACTGCCAGACTGACTGCTTACAGTTTCCAAAGGAGTTTCCGCCGGTACCCGTTCAGTCAGCTGAAGATAATGACAATCCTCGACTCTCACAGGATCGAATGTGTCGAGGAAAGGCTGCACTATCGATTGATACAAGGCGCTTTTATACTTCCAAAGTACATCAGGTAATCAGGTTTATCCTATCCCAAAGGAATAGACCCTTCTAGAAAATAGAATCACCCTGCGTATATCCACGCGAGGCTATTGGCTTTAAGGGATTACGGCGGGATAACGCTAGATATAGCGTACCAGTAAATCTCGAGCCTGGTCGGTGAGATAATGATAATAACAGGATAAACCAAAGGTTTATGGAAAAGAGGGAATAGGAATCCAAATGGCATAAGATAAAGACCAAATGAATCAGGATAAAAAGAGGAATGGAATGGAAAACGAAGATGGAAAGGAGAAACCAATGGACCGGGGTCGTACTCTCACACTTCCCCCCCCTCAAAGCTGGGTGGTAGACGTAACACCATGCTTGACAAGGTAGTCGCAAAGAGGACGACGAGCATGATCCATCTTGGATTCAGAGACCCAGCTATCCTCTGAAGGATCATACCCCTTCCAACGTATGAGAAGCTCCACGGTGCCATTCCGTCGACGGCGGTGAGCAAGCACGGACTCGACCTCTTACTCAGGTTCATCATGGACGAGGACGGGTGGCGGCGGCGGCGGTTGGCGTCCAGAAAAGACCGTGTTGGGATCTCTGTAGGGCTTCAAGAGTTGGACACGGAAGGCGTTGTGAATCTTCCAGATAGCTGGTAGGGGTAAGCGGAAGGTAACAGGAGTGACGTGTACTTCAACGAGAAAAGGCCCACAGAGGTGAGGTTGCAGTTTGGATGGGAGATGGCTGATGTCAAGATTGCGCATGTCGAGTAGTACTCGGTCTCCCACGGTGATGATGTGGTCTGTGCGGTGGCGATCGGCCTGGCGCTTCTGTTGCTGATGAATGTCGAGGAGACGCTTGTGGGTCCGATCCCAAAGTGTGTGCATGGTCGTGATGAAATCATGAATGGGTTGGACTGTGGCTGGTATGTTTGGCTGTTGAGGTGTGAGTGGGTGGCGTCCATAATAGAGGAAGAACGGCGTCTGTCCAGTAGCGGCGTGAGTAGCATTGTTGTAGGCAAAATCCAGGACGGGCAGATGCAAGTCCCATTTGGAGATGTCGTCCTTGCAGGCTGTGCGGAGGAGTTGCTCCACAATTTGGTTGAGGCGCTCGGTCTGTCCATCTGTCTGCGGATGGTAGGCGGATGACATGGCAAGTTTGGTCCCGAGCAGAGACATTAGTTCTTTCCAGAATTTACTGGTGAAATTAGGGTCTCGGTCGGAGATGAGTGTGGTCAGAATGCCATATTATGAGATGATGTAGCGAACAAAGAGTTGTGCTGTCTCCTCGGTGCGTGCTGTGGTGTGTGTCGGGATGAAGTGTCCCATTTTGGAGAGCTTGTCAATGACGACGAGGATCGCGTCATGACCGCTTGTGGTAGTTGGTAGCTCGGTGATGAAGTCTAGGCTTACCACTTGCCATGGTTGTTCTGGGACAGGAAGAGGCTGTAGCAGACCCGCCTTTTTCTGCTTGCTGCTCTTCATCCGCTGACATGTAGTGCACGAGGTGACGAATTTCTGTACGTCATCTGCCATGTGGGGCCAGTAGTAGTGTTTGGCGATACCGGTGAGCGTCTTGTTGCTACCGAAGTGTCCCGCGTACAGGACTTTGTGGTATTCTTCGAGTAGTAACTGGCGCAAAGGAGGGTAATTAGGTACCCAGATCTTTGTTGATCCTTTCCAATACACGATGTCATTTCCCCACTGTAGCAGATGTCGCTTTTCTGCCAAGCGAATTTCGGGGTCGATGGTGTACCCGTGTGTGAAGAGTCCCTTGAGGAGTGGATTCATCCCTTCAACTTGGATAGCGGCAACGTGTGCAGCCCGGCTAAGTGCGTCGGCTTTGTTTTTATGGCCAGGCTTGTACATGATGTCGTAGTGGAAGTGTGTCTCGAGGAAGTCAATCCACCGGACCTGCCGCCTGGAGAGGTTTGGTTGTGTTTTCAAATATTTTAGGCTGCAATGGTAGGTGTAGACTATCGTCTTGCGTCCTTCGAGATAACATCTCCACATTTTTAAGGCGATGATGATAGCAAGGGCCTCCTTGTCGTGTATCGGGTAGTTGAGTTCTGCCCTGTGTAATTTTTTGCTAAGGTAGGCAATTGGTTGCAGGCCATCCCCCTGGTCTTGCATCAAGACTGCTCCCACTGCCTGGTCGCTGGCGTCAGCTTCGATGACGTAGTCGCGTTCGGGGTCTGGCAAGATGAGTACGGGTGCGGACATGAGTGCTTGTTTCAACTGCTCCACGGCTTCCTGGTGTTGTAGCTCCCATTTATAGGGCGTGTTCTTCTTTAGCAGATTCGTGAGTGGCGTGGCGATCTTCGCGTATTGCGGCATGAACCTGTTGTAGTAATTAGCAAAGCCGAGGAACTGCTGTAACTCCTTCATATTTTCGGGTGTCTTCCGCGTACGCACGCTCTCGATTTTCTTGGGGTCGATGTGAACTCCTTGAGCGCTTACGATATGTCCGAAGAATTGGACTTTCTTGAGGGCGAAGTCGCTCTTGGATAGTTTGACGTAGAAGCGTTCTCGTCGAAGAATTTCGAAGACGCGTCGTAGGTGCTCGACGTGTTGTTGCATGTCGCGCGAGTAGACGAGGATGTCGTACAGGTACACCACCACGCATTCGTCCAAGAGTGGGCATAGGATATGATTCATCTCTGCTTGGAACGTTGCAGGTGCGTGGGTGAGCTCGAACGGCATTACCAGATACTCGTACGATCCATACCGAGTTCGGAATGCAGTTTTGTGAACGGAATCGTCCGCCATTCTTATCGGCCAGTATCCGGACCGCAGATCTAGTTTTGAAAATACCGTGGCTCCCGAAGCGGGTCAAGCAGGTCATTGATTCGTGGAATCGGGTACGTGTTCTTGATGGTCTGCTTGTTAAGAGCTCGGTAGTCGATGCACATGCGCAAGCTTCCGTCCGGTTTCGGTGTGAAGAGTACTGGGGCACCGTATGGTGAAGTGGATGGTCGGATGAGTCCTTTGGTGAGGAGATACTCGATCTGTTTCTTCATGTCGGTTAGTCGTGTGAGGCTTAGCCGATATGGTGCTCGAAAGGTCAGTTTCGAACCTGGTTCCTCCACGATCTCGTGTTGGTGCGTTCGGTATGGCGGTAGCTCGTCCGAGAGGTTGTCGAGAAGAATGTCTTGGAACTCCTTCAGTAAGTCCTTGATTTTTTCTGGTGTTCCGAGGCTTTCTCTCCGTCATTCCCCACCTCTGTTGCTATCGCCAGGAACCTGGTGCTGGTTCGTTTCACGTCCTTCTCGAATCTGGTGAGTGTCTCCACTGGGATATCTCCTGTATCGTCCCAGTTGGGTAGCTGCACTCTCCTTCTTTTGTTGTAGATGCTTGCGGTGCGGTTTACCCAGTTGATCTCGGGGTTGAATTTCTTGAGGAAGTCTCGCCCGAAGATCAAGTCAAGCCCTTTTATGTTGGTGATGGGGAGAGCAGATTTCCAGCGCAGTGGACCGATTTGTATGTGTAGCACTGCTTCGCCGTACACTGGTAACTTGCTACCGTCCACCATCGTTGTAGAAAACGCTGATGGCTTGTACTCTTCTTGAAGTCGGTCGAGGGTTGCCTTGTCGCATACGATGTGCGATGCTCTACTGTCCACGAGTGCTTGGAGGTGTCGTCCTTTGCAGATAACCTCGAGCACGAAGGGCAGGCGTTGCTCGGAGTACCCAAAGATAGTTTCATTGATTGGGTCACAGGGTACATCCCAATATTCGTTGCTTCCTATTCTGAGGTGGCAGCAGGCCAAGGCTGCTTGGAGAAAGGTTCTTCTCCAGGGCCCGGAGTTTCCGTGACGACTGTTCGTATTGTTAACGAAGTTGCCGAGTTGGATGCATCCGAAGAAGGAGTTCGGGGTTTTTGCAGCTTCTTGTGGACCCCCAGCTTCCTCTTGAGCTGCTTCAGCTCCACCGACGTCTTCCCTGGGGAACGGGTAGTCGCTGTGGGCTAGTGTCGGGAGTGGACGTTGACTCCGTGGAAAGGTCGGCTTCTTTCCACACTCCTTAATTTGGTCCCCAAGTTTTCCGGTACCGGTACGATCTCCACAATTTTCTGCTTCTTTTGGAGTCCCTCCCGAATTTTCTCCAAGGCTCTAGCCCCTCGAGAATTACAAGTTTTCATTAAAGCATCTTTATGATAACTTTAACGAATCCTTATAATTCCTTTGGTCTTCAAGGAGTTTCCCCGTCTTGGCAGAGTCCTTTTTCGCGGAGTTCAATTTTTCCTCGGCGGTTTCCTCTGGCGAAGACTGGTCGTGGGGTGGAGATTTTTCCCCATCATTTTCTCCTGTTTGCGTCGAATCAGCTGCGTCGAAGTTTATTTTTCCGGAAATCCGCGGCCGCTTTCGGATCTTTCCTTTTTCGCCAGCTAGATCCGCAATCACTGGCGAGTCCCGTTTTTTTGCTTCTGATTGGTCGAAGGATCTCCGCCACTGTTGCGTGCCCGATACTCAGCGCGTGCGGCTTTCATTTTGTTGCAGTCGAAGATTCGATGACCCGGCACCCCGCAAAAATCACACGTGTAGTTGGTGTTTTTTTTACGTGGGCGTCCGTCGAACCTGTCGATTTCCAACGGGTCGGCGAACGTGGTGTGAGCCGAGCGGTCGCCCTGTCGCATACTGCCGACGTGCGTTCGTCGTGTCCCGGCGTTGACCATGTCGAAGCGTTCCGCGGCCGATACGACGTCACTGTAGCTCGCGTAGTTTGTCGCTGCCACTTGTCGTTTGACTTCGGTCTTCAGCCCGGCGAGGTACGACTGTACTTTTTCCCCTTCGGTCAGGTCGGGAATACGGTTATAAAATTCCTCCATCTGATGCGTGTACTGCGCTACACTCCCGAACTGTCGATGGCGATGATTTTTTTCCCGGGCAAGGAAACCCGAATTTATCGGCTTGAAACATTTCAGCAGGTCGGTGCGGAACTGCTGCCATGTGGCTTCGCCGTGGATGAAGGTGTTGTTACCGCCGATCCACTTGAGTGCCGGTCCTCGCATCAGTGTCGCCGCGAGTCGTACGCGTTGACCGTCCCAGACTGGCGAGCTCCATCTGACGGCTGCGAAGTAGATCTCCATGCCGGCGATCCATCTGCGGACGTCGGAATTTCTATCGCTCGGATCGAACGGCCCAGGTGGGCGCGGTTTCGGAGCCTCGAGAAACTGCTGCGACTGCTGCGTCGTCGCCGTTGTCGTTTCGTGTTGCGCGCCGGCGAGTCGAGTTACTCGCTCGAACTCTTGTCGCCAAGCTTCGCGGTCGGCTCGCATCTCCTCCTGTAGGGCGGCGATGCTTGCGAAGAGCTGCTGGGTAACTTCGGCGTTGTCGAAGTTCGCCACCCTGTTCAAAACACGCGCGGAGGGGGTAATTCTAAAAAACACGGAGCTGGTGCTTACCAGAACCGGCGTCGAATTGGTCGCCCTCGGCGGTTTTTTTAGGCAGGATCCCCCGCTGCTGCTGCTTAGCTGAGCGCGGCCGAGTGAGAAAAACTCTGATTAGCAAGTGTCACAGGATCGAATGTGTTGAGGAAAGGTTGCACTATCGATTGATACAAGGCGCTTTTATACTTCCAAAGTACATCAGGTAATCAGGTTTATCCTATCCCAAAGGAATAGACCCTTCTAGAAAATAGAATCACCCTGCGTATATCCACGCGAAGCTATTGGCTTTAAGGGATTACGGCAGGATTACGCTAGATATAGCGTACCAGTACATCCCGAGCTTGGTCGGTGATATAACGATAATAATATGATAAACCAAAGGTTTGTGGAAAAGAAGGAATAGGAATCCAAATGGCATGAGATAAAGACCAAATGAATCAGGATAAAAAGAGGAATAAAATGGAAAGGGAAGATGGAAAAGAGAAAGGAATGGACCGGGGTCGTACTCTCACATCGACGGCCACGATTAAAAGCGATCGTTTTGACGCTTTCTTACCTTTGATCGCAGTTTGACCTGAAGACCTCGTCAGGCCGGCGTAATCATTACGCTCGTCACATGTTTGAATACTTACGACGGATTCAGATTCAGATTTCGATGATGAGGAGGATAAAAGTTCATTCGAGCAACTTGAGAACATGATCTTACCTTAGGTCTATGCTAATCTCGCTCGGGTTATTGCAGGACCAAACACTTGGTATCTTGACATGGCTGAAAACAGGTTTTTAGCTGTGTTACAACAGTTCATGCAACAGATTCAGATTTCGACGATGAGGAGGAAGAAAATTCCATCAAGCAACCTAAGAACATGATCTTACCTCAGGTCTATGCTAATCTCGCTCGGGTTATTGCACTACCAAACACTTGGTATCTTGACAGTTGTTGTGGTCAACACATGTGCTCTGCCGAGATGCTCTTCCGACTAAATCGGCTAGATCTTATCTTCTGCGCGTGACCTCGTCATTATTCATCTTCGACCTACTAGCATCTGAATTACGCTTCCGCGCTTGACCTCGTCAATTCGTTGATGGAGTTCATTGATTTTTGTGAGACACTGACGTGTGCCCTCGCATGTGTGACGGACGACATCGCGTGTTGATGAACGGCTCTTCGCCATCCAACAATCCACGTCATTCGGCAGTCATCATTACGGAAGATGTTCATTCAGCCACGCGCCATCATCAACAGCCAGACTGACTGTTTACAGTTTCCAGAGGAGTTTCCGCAAGTACCCGTTCGGTCAGCTGAAGATAATGACAATCCTCGACGGCAATGATTAAAGCGATCGTTTCGACACTTTATGACCTTTGATCGCAGTTCGACCTGAAGATCTCGTCAGGCCGGCGTAATCATTACGCTTGTCACAGGGCTGAATACTTACAGTCCATGTAGGGATTACTTTTAATGACTGTTCGGCCTTGATAAAGGGAGTGCCTTCCTTTAGAATGTGAGAGAGTGTAAGGAATTACGATTCCTTACTGGGGCTCGCTTCAGCTTGTATACGCAAACTCTTCGGGTTCGCAGGCTCGGCCCTCAAGTCACGCGCCAAACCAGTCCCTGCCGACCTCGTCGGCCCCAAGCTCATCCCGAGTCGCCCCAAACCCATTTCGGCCCCGTCACCCTAGGGACTACCGAGCCCTTGACTGGTCCAACCCTCGATATTTCAACCCTGGTCAACACACCAATATATTGCATAGGCCTCATTTCTATAGTCACATTGTAATCACATTCCCCTTATTGAATACTGCACTATGATTTGAGTTATATTTCATAACATGGACAAGGCTTTGTTACATTTTCATCTGAATCTTGGGCTGAGCCGAACCTCGTTTCTGTCAATTCGGAGGTTTCGCCAAGCTTCTTGACGGATGGAACAAGAGCGTGATTCTCCAACGTTGTGCTCCGCCAATCGCAACCTCTACACGTGGTTTGTGCGCCGCCTCATTCGAGTAAATAACATTTGTGCTGCCTGCCCAAGCATCTTCATGTCCCCATTTTGTGCTGATGCCTCCTTGCTGCCACAGGTGAAATTTTCATGACGTCTTTCGTACAGTCGAGCAAGCAAACCTAAGTTTACTTTGACGGGCGTTTCTTCCCACACCGCCCAGCTATGCCATGCCTGCCCTGCCTCTACTCTCTCCGCCCATCAGCCGTTTGCGCCTACCCCCGCCTGCCTCCGCCAGCCTCCTGCCATGCCAGCCCACTCGTGCCAATCATCATCATCAGCGCGCGAGTCACACAACCTCCCCGCCTTGTTTCCTTCCTCGCTCCCTCCCGTTCCTCCCCTCCCTCCGCCCTCCGCCCTCCACCCTCTGCCATCCGCCCTCCGCTCTCTGCCCTCCGCCCTTTCCCCTCCCCAAGTTTGCCTTCCCCCAAACCTCCCCGTACTTACATTTGCTCCACACCGCTCCAAAACATACCAAAACGTACTGCAACACAGCACACCACACCACAGAGCCCATTCTCTTCCGCCGCTGCGATGCTGCTGACCTGGACGTTCTTGATGTTTGTCAAGTGAAGCTCCCAGCAAGCAACACCCCCCCCCCGCACACCCACACACACATATGGCTGCTGCTGAAAAAAGAAACTCCAAATTCGTGTGCAGCTGCTTTGGTACACTGTACCTTGGTGTCCTTTCTTTCTCACAGTCTGGTCTGGAGTTACCATCATATCCTCGCTAACTTGTCTGCTCGTAGAGAAATCCCTGTTTCGTAGGCTTGCCGCATCGACGCCTTATGCGTCTTAGCGCGACCCACGCCGTTCTCGTCGTATTATTTTTAACCTTCCAGGTCGCGAGTTGGTTAGATTAAGCTGATGAGTGAATTGCATGTGGCTGCCGCGCGCGATTAGTACCTTGCAGTGCGCCAATCGCCTGCGCTAACCGTTCTGGTGAAGTACCCTAGTGCCTAGTGAAACGCCTTTTCTGCGTCGTGCTGGTTCTGCAACTCGCGATGCGCGTGTCGATCCCTTCGTTTCACTTACCTCTCGACCGCTTTCGCGTTTTTCCCAAGAAGCGATCGTTGGTGAGCAATTGGAAGCACGCTGTTAACAGCAGCCGCTGATTTACCTATCGGAACTGACCATACGGAACTGACCGTACGGAACTGACCTTACGGAATTGAACCGTACGGAACTGACCTTACGGAATTGAACCGTACGGAGCTGACGGTAACACCACTCGCCAACTTTTGTTACCTTCTCTGTTTTGTCGTCGCCCCCTCTTTCTCGTCGCGTTGCGTAACTCTGCTTCCTTTCAGCAGCAGCGAGGCCAGATTCGTCTCCAAGTCAACTCGAAAGCTAAATTCAGCCCCAGCTTCAGCTCCAGCGATAGCGGGTCCAGCAATAACGGATCTAGTCTATGGCGGGAGGCAGTGCGGCGACGGCTTCAACGTCAGCGGGTCTAGACCCCGCTCGGGGGAACCAGTGGGGCGCCTCGAGGCCGGCCGTTTCTAGACCGGTTGCTCCTAATACCGCCGCTATCTGCGCATCTGGCGGCGGCGACAAGCACGCGCACGGGCACGGGCACGGGCACGCGCAGGGGCGCGGGGAAAGCCTTGGCGCAATTCGGCGGAACGAGGCGCGCGAGGGGGGGAAAGGCAAGGCGCAGTGGCGGGTAGAGGCTTCGCAGAAAGGGCGGGAGGGGCCGGAGGAGCACGAGGGGGAGGGGGACGAGGAGATGGGGGGAGCGCACGGGGGCGGGGGAGGCACGGAGGATGGCGGGGATGGCGGGGATGGCGGAGAGGCGGGGGAGGGCGCGGAGGGCGGGGAGTTGCGCAAGGGGCAGTGGACGGCGGAGGAGGATGAGTTGCTTCTGAAGTGCATCCAGCAGTTCGGCGATGGCAACTGGAGCTCCATTCCCAAGCGCGCAGGTCTGATTGCCAGTTTCTATCGCGGATCGCTATAGCGGATGGCGAATTGTTCAGTTGCGCGCACCTTTCGCTATCGTTCCCTTCGCTTCTCTTCCTTCCCAGCCCGCAATCTCCTGACGAATGCTCCGCCGGATTTTCGCCCCTCGCCGCCATCCTCCCAAAGTTACCCGCCTCAACCCCCCTATTTCTCCCCCCCACAACTCCCGTTTCCCATTCCTTCCCCTCAACCGTATTTCGCCCCCCAAATCCCCCCTTCCGTAATTCACCCCCCACACCCCCTTCACCCCTTGCTAGGCCTGCGGCGGTGTGGGCTGTCGGGTGGGTTGGGCGAACCAACCCCCCCCCCACCACATCCCTTCACGTCCTTATTCCCATCTCCCCCCTCCCCCTACCTCTTCCCCCCCACTCTCCCCTCCCCTACCCCCTCTCCCTTCCCCCCCTTTCCCCCCGCCAGGTCTGCGGCGGTGCGGCAAGAGCTGTCGGCTGCGGTGGGCAAACTATCTGCGGCCGGACCTGAAGCGAGGCGCGTTCACGGACGACGAGGAGGCGCTCATCATCCGCCTGCACGCCGCGTGGGGGAACAGGTGGGGGAGGGGGGGGGAAGGGGGGCGGGGGCGGGGGGTAAAGGGGGCGGGGGGTAAAGGGGGCGGGGGTAAAGGTGGGGGGGGGAGAGGAGAGGGGGAAAGGGTGAGGCGCGTTCACGGACGACGAGGAGGCCCTCATCATCCGCCTGCACGCCGCGTGGGGGAACAGGTGGGGCGCGGGCAGGGGGAAGTGGGAAACAGGCGGGGATGGGGGAGGTTGGGGGGAAACAGGCGGGGATGGGAGGAAAGAGAGACGAGGAGGCGCTCATCATCCGCGTGCACGTCGCGCGGGGGAACAGGTGGGGCGGGTGGGGGGGAGGACGGGAACCGGGGGGGGGGGAAAGGCGGGGATGGGGGGGGATGTTGGGGGGAAACAGGTGGCGATGGGAGGAAAGAGAGTGGGGAGTGCGAGGGGATGGGGCAGAGGCCCTCACCATCCGCCTGCACGCCGCGTGGGGGAACAGGTGCGGGGGGAGGGGGGGGGGGGGGAAACAGGAGAGGCGGGCGGGGGAACAGGTGGGGCGGGTTGTGAGAGGGCGGGTATGGGGGTGCGGGAGTGACGGTACCCCTTTGGCCCCCCATGCTGCTCCTAGCGGATGGGCGAAGATAGCGCTGGAGCTGCCCGCGCGCACAGACAACGACCTCAAGAACCACTGAACCCGTATATCCCCCCTCCCCCACCCCCCTTCCCCTGTTCCTCATCCCAACTCTCCCACCTTCCCTGGGGCTACCTTCTCCCACCCTTATATCCGTCTCTCCTCGCAGGTGGGCTAAGATAGCGCTGGAGCTGCCCGGGCGCACGGACAACGACATCAAAAACCACTGGAACACCAAGATGAAGCGCCGGCTCAAGGAGCAGGGCATCGACCCGGACTCGCACCGCCCGCTCTCCTCGCTCGACCCAGGTCAGTGAGGGTCGTCTAGTCTTGAGAGAGACGTTTTGAGACGTTTCGAGACGTTTCACGCCTATATTGTTGTCTGGAGGAGGGCAGGGCGTCGTCCCTGTTCCCTGACTCGCACCGCCCATTCTCCTCGCTTGACCCAGGCGACCAGCGCACTACCCTACCCTACCCTACCGTACTGTACCGTACCGTACTCTACCCTCCCTTCTCACCTATTGCAAGTTCCCCCTCGAGTGACCCCACACTGTGTGCCTCCCCCACCCACTCCCGCACCTCTTCTCCCCCCCCCCCCCCTCTTCTCCCTCCCCCCCGCGTGCACAAGTAGTGTAGAGGCGCCTCCAAACCGGTTCGTTCTCATTCCCCAGGCACGCCGATACGGGGTTAGCCCTGATCACTTTTTACCTCCCTCTCTCTCTGCTCTCCTCCCTCCCTGCTTCCCTGTCGCTCTGCCTTTCCTCCTCTCCCCCCCCGCCCCACCACCCCCAACACCCCCAACCCCCCCTCGCACGCGTACGCACAGACCAGCCGCCGAAGCAGCGTGTGAAGCGGGGGCCACCCCCCGGCAGCTCCCCTGTGCGCCTGCACAAAGTCATCAAAGACTCTCCGACCGCCTCCCCCCTCTCTGCCTCCCCCCTCTCTGGCCCCAAATTGCCCCCCTCTGCTGCTGCTGCTGCTGCTGGTGCTGGTGTTTTGGCCGCGTCCGCTCTTTCCCGTGTCTCCCCTCCGCCTCTCTCCCTCCTTCCCGCCCCTCTGATCCCCGCCTCTGCCTCTTCCCTCGCCCCCCCAGCCCTTCCTCTTCCTCTTCCTCTTCCTCCTCCTCCTCCTCCTTCGTCTTCCTCCTCTGCTGCTGTCATTCAAACGCAGCTACCAACCGTAGCACCAGCACCACCACCTGCTGCTGCTGCTTGTCCTCCTCCTGCCGCTGCTGCCACGATCGGCCGTGAGCCACTCGTGCAGCGGAAGCACTCACTATCACCGCACGGCAAGGCGGTCCCTGGAGCGGCCAAAAGAATCGGCGGGAAAATGGAGCAGGGGCAGGTAACGATGGGCAGAGGAATGGAGCAGGGGATTCTGGGCAAGGGAATGGGGAGCAAGGGGGACGATGAAAACCAAACCCTATGTCAGGTGCTGACTGGTCCCAAGGGGCCTGCTGAGAATCCGCGTGGGCCTGTGAAAACGGAGAGTGGGGCAATGGGCAGTGCGAAAGCAGAGATTGCCTGTGTGGGAATGGAAGCCGCTCGTGAGAAAGCCGAGGGAGTGAGAGCACAAGGGGGGTTAGCCGAAGGGGTGTTGACAGAAAGGGTGAAGGTAGAGAGGTCTGAGAGGGGGCGGGAGGTGCTGCAGGGAGAAGGCGCAGCAGCTGGGTGGGGAGGAGGGGACAGCACCAGTCCCGCACGGCTGGCGCCTATAGACGTGGGGGACATAAGTGGGTATGCGGACATGGGGGATATTAGTGGGTATCCCAATGCAGAAGATGATATGAGTGGGTATCCGGATGCTGGGGATGTGAGTGGTTATGCAGATGCGAATTTTGCAGCGGGAAAGAGAGAGCCGTTAGGGCGAGGAGATTTGCGTAGCGGGCAGCTGGGGGTGGTGGGAGGGGGTCAGGAGGGCGGAGGAGTGGGTGGAGCGGGTGGGTGGGACGGAGGGGGCGGAGGGGGCGGAGGGGGCGGAGGGGGCGGAGGGGGCGGAGGGGGTGGAGGGGGTGGAGGGGGCGGAGGGGGCGGAGGGGGTGGAGGGGTGGAGGGGGTGGAGGGGGCGGAGGGGGCGGAGGGGGCGGAGGGTTCGGAGGGGGCGAGCGGGAGAGCTTAGAAGCGGCGTTACTCGCCAAGTTGCTTGCAGGAAGGGTTGGCGGTGGTGCAGCTGCTGCTGCTGCTGCGGCGGCTGCCGGTGGTGGTGGTGGTGGTGGTGATGGTGGTGGTGGTGGATTGTCTCTGAATCCCAAAGACCTGCAGCTGCTGCTGCAGCAACTGCCAGTGTCGGTTCGGCTGAAGTTGCTGCAGCAGCACCAGCAGCAGAAGCAGAAGCAGAAACAGCAGCAGCAGCAGCAGCAGCAGCAGCAGCAGCAGCTGCTGCTGCAACAGCGGCAGCGGCAGCAGCAGGAGCAGGAGCAGGAGCAGCAGCAGAAGCAGCAGCTGCGGTGGCATGTGAACCAGCTGCTGCTGCAGCGAACTGCAGACCTGCAGCAGCGGCAGCAGCAACAGCAGCAGGAGCTGCAGCAGCTGCAGCAGCAACAGCAGCAGGAGCGGCAGCAGCAACAACAGCAACAGCAGCAGGAGCGGCAGGAGAGGCAACGGCAGCAGCAACAGCAGCAGCAGCAAGGAGTGGCGGAGTCAGCCAGTGCTGTGCTCCAGCTGTTACGTGCTCTCAAACAAGTGTCCTCCAGTCAACCGCTCTCCACAGCCGCTGCCACTGCTGCCTCGGCTCTACAATCCTCAGCAGCAGCAGCAGCAGCAGCTGTAGGCCGCAGTAGCCCCGCTGCTCCTGCCCATCGTTCGACCCGCTCCCCTGCTTCCTCTGCTTCCCTCCCTCCTGCCTCTGCCGCATCCTCCATCCCCTCTCTCTCGTACCTTGCCTCCTTAGCCTCCTCCCATCCCTCCCACAACCACTCTCGTGCCCTCTCATCCCCTCCCCACAACTCCCACCCATCCGCATCCCCCATCACCTCTATCCCTGCGCCCACCCCTAGCCCTACTCGCGCCCCTGCTTCCGCCTCTGCTCTCGCCCCCCCCTCGCCCAGTGCTGCTCCCCCTGCCGACGCCTCCCCCTCTCTGCCCTTCTCCCAGCGGGAGCTGGAGCAACTGGCGCGCCTGCTGCCCCCGTCGCTGCTGCCCCGCCTCTTGGCTCGCCTAGAGGGGGCTATTGGGGAGGGGGGCGGTGGTGGTGGCGGTGGCGCTGCTGCTGGTGCTGCTGCCGGTGGTGGTGGTGCTGATGGTGGTGGTGGTGTAGATGGAACAGGTGTTTCTGGCGCTAGTGCGAGTAGGAGAGTGCAAGCGGGTGCTAATCCCATGGAAGTGGATGCACAAGAGGCACAAGAGGCACAAGAGGCACAAGAGGCTCAAGAGGCACAAGAGGCACAAGAGGCTCAAGAGGCACAAGAGGCACAAGAGGCTCAAGAGGCTCAAGAGGCACAAGAGGCTCAAGGGGCTCCAGATGCTTCTTATTTTCTTGCGCGCCCTCATTCCTCCTTCCTAAGCTCCTCTCTCCTCGGTTCCTTGCTCCTCCAGCGCTCCACCCTCCCCTCTTCTAACGCTCGCTTATCCAATCAACCTCAGTCAGGGCTTGCGCTGGATGCTGCTGCTTCTGGGGCTGCTGCTGCTGCTGCTGCTGCTGCTGCTTCTTCCCCCCTCTCCTCCTCACCGCATTCCTCTCTCTCTTCCCAGCCTGCTGCTATGCCTCCTCCCGCTTCTCTCCCTCCCTCTTCCCGCCACCATCTCAACCAGCGCCAGCAGCACCAACAGCACCAGCAGCAGCAGCAGCAGCAGCAGCAGCAGCAGCAGCAGCAGCGCCAGCAGCACATTTCAGCCCAGCTCCTTCCTCTCCCATCCGCCTCCTCCCCTCCCCCTCCCTCTTTCGACAACAACGACGCCCCCTCCCCTCATTCCTCCTCCCCTCCTCCCTCGCTCTATCTCGAGCTGGCCTCCCCGTCCTCCTCTGCTCTAAGGGCGTGTGGCGGCCGGTTTAGATTCGACGATACGCCTGTTAGGGGTAATAACAGGTACGGCAGAGGAAAAGGCGACCTCTCTGCTTCGACTGCTGCTGCTGCTGCTGCTGCTGCTGCTGCTGGCGGTGCGTCTAGCGGTATCGGCAGCAGCAACGGTGGTGGCGGCGGTGGCAGTGGTGGTAACGGCAGTAACGGCGGAGCAGGGATGGGAGCGGGGAAGGGAGTGGGGCGAAGAGGGAGCATAGGGGTGGAGGATGGGAGTTCATTGTCACTCATGCCTTTTCCGTGCATGTTGGATGCTATTGCTGGTAATCAAGCCCCTGTTGCTGTTGGAGGGAGGCTTCATAGTGATGCAGCAAAGGGGGCAGGAGGAAGAGTGGAAGGCTGGAATGAGGCTTTTGCTGCTGGTGCTTCTTCTGCTGCTCCTTCTGCCGCTGCTGCTGCTGCTGCTGGTGCGGCAATGCCTGGGGATGGTGCTGCAGCTGCTTCTGCTTCTGGCAATGCACCTGCGGTCACAACTGCTGCTGCTGCTGCTGCTGCTGCTGCTGCTGCTACAAGTGCTGATCTTTCGAAATCGTCTCAACCATTGGGCCCGGCAATTTTTGGAGCAGCATCAGAAGCCAGTGGGAGCGCAGGAGGGGACGGGGGGGGAGGGGGAAGAGGAGAGGCAAGAGCAGAAGCGGCAGGAGCAGGAGCAGGGAGTGCAGGGGGTGCAGGGAGCGCAGGGGCTGCAGGGACAGCATCAACAGGCACAGGCGAGACAGCAGGCACACCGTCCCTCAAGCGGCGGCCATCAGCCTTCCGAGTGCTGTCTGTTGTCATTCCTACCGACACCACCGCTGCAGATGAGCCCCCCCCTGCCCCCGCCCCTGGCAGCAGAGGCTCCACTGGCCGCTCCATGCCTGTGGATCGCCCCATGGTGATTGAAGCAGCAGTAGGAGCAGGTGCTGCTGGTGCGGGTGCAGCTGGTGCAGGTGGTGTTGCTGGTGGTGTTGGTGCTGCTGAGGATGGTGCAGAGGGGGGGGCGAGAGGGGTGGGTGGAGCAGCAGCAGCAGCAGCTGCCGTGGCGGCAGCAGCAGGGCAGGGCATGGGTGCGCCCCCTGTCCCGTCCTTCTCCCCCAGAAGTCCCTGGGGCAATGACAATCAGTTCTGGGATTTCAGCAGCGAGAGCAGCGACCTAGCAGGCCCCTCCTTCCTCCCCTCTCCCAACTTCCTCCCTCCACCGCCCTTCACCCCTTCCGCTATCCCAGTGCCCTTCACTCCGTCCTACCCCATCCCCTTCAGTCCCGGTGCCGCTGTGAGGGACTTGACTGCGTTTGACCGTGCGCCGCTTGCCTCCCCTGCCACCCCGCAGTCGCGCTCCCTCTTCCATTTCCTGCAAAGCATTCCGGATTGCTCCCGAGTGCCCTCTTCTGCTGGTTCTGCTGCTGCTGCTGCTGCTGCTGCTGCTGCTGCTGCTGCTGTAAGCACACCAGGAGCAGGGATTTACACTCCTTCCAATGCTGCAGCTGCTGCTGCCGCTGCTGCGGCTGCTGCTGCTGCTTCTGTGCCTGCGTACGGCTCTTTTGCTGGTTCTACTGGTGGTAGTGGTAGTTCTGATGCTGACTGTCCCCCTGGTGGGTTCGCCGTGCCTTCTCTCCCAGCCAGCCATGCTGGCTCGGCATCAGCCTCGGTTACAGGGTTACCAGCAGCAGGCGTGGCACCACCTAGCACTGACTCTGCTGCGTCACTAGACGGAGGACACGGGTTTCGAGAGCCGCATTCGCCGCGCTCCAGGGTACCTGCCTTTGCCGCCCCTTCCGCTGCCGCTGCCGCTACTGCTGCTGCTGCTGCTGCTGCGGCTGCTGGTAGTGGCACTGCAAGCATCAGCGCTGCCTCTCTTTTCCCAGGATCCTCAAAGTCCCTCATGCCCCCACCCCCTCCTCGCATGCTTCCTCCCAAGACTCCTGGTCAGAGCCAAGCCGGTGATTCTCAATTCCCAGCTGACGGACGTGAGAGGAGTGAGAAAGCACAGCTGAGTTTTGGAGGGAAGGAGCAGCAGCAGCAGCAGCAGCAGCAAGGGGATGGTGAAGGGAATGGGAGAGGGGCAGCAGGAGAGGTAAGGAGAGGGGATGGGGCGAATGAGGGGGAGGAGAAGAAGGATGAGGTGAAAGGAAGTGTGTCTCCAGAACTAGGCAAGCAGCAAGGAGCAGCAGCAGCAGCAGCATTAGGACCAGCAGCTGCAAAGACACCAGCATCAGCCGCAGCAGCAGCAGTAGAGTCAGAGTCGCCTGCTGCTGCTGTTCCTTCCCCTAACGACACCCAAGCTGCCTCTGCTTCCCCGGATCTCTCAGCTTTCGCCGCCAAAGCAGCTGCAGACGGCAGGCAGGGGTGCACAATCCCCCCCACCGCTGCATCCAGTAACTCTGGAGCTGCCCCTGAAGCAACCAACAAAGATGACCCGGTGAGAGGAGAGTGAGGAAGAGAGAGGGAGAGAGAGGGAGAGAGAGAGAGGGGGCGATAGGGAGTGAGAGAGAGCCAGAGAGATACAGAGAGAGGGATCGTGCAGAGGTAGTCCGGAATTAACAGGGAACCATCAGGAGTTGAGGCCCGGCTCTGGTTGTTAGAAAGGCCCTGTTCTGGGATGTGCTTTAAGATCTGCTCTGGGATGCTGAGGATATTGGTGATGGCAGCGGTAATGCGGATGGTTGTTGATACGCAAATCAAGATTGCACACTCTGTGCCATCGCTCCCCTCCCTCCCTCCCCGCCTCGCTCCCTCCACTCTCCGTCGGCCACTGGATCACATGCGTGCAGCGCTCACACGCCCACCCCTCTCATCTCCCCCCATCTTTCCAGACTCAACCAGATGTTTCTCTCGGCAATCGGCCAGCCGCACTAGCAGATCCACCTCCACTGCACCAGGGGGTTGCAATTTGCAGACAGCAGCAGCAGGAGCAGCAGGAGCGGAACCAGCAGGGGCAACAGGAGCAGAAGCAGCAGCAGCAGCAGCAGGCAGTGCCAGGTGGTGACGTGCAGGAACAGGGAAAGCCAGGAGCTCTGCCCAAATGGCTCTCACTTGACATCCTAGACTCATCAGCAGCTACACCACCACCATCCAAGCACCAATGATGATGCTTAGTCGGCTTTGAAATGCTCATAGGTTCCCGTAGGGAACTCTGTGGTACGTTTGGTGCTGGTGATTGCATTTGTGCAATCAACTTGACGCACCTTTTTTACAGTAGGTTTAGTTGCGAAATGTAATGAAATCATGTGTTGCCCCATTAGGGGCACCATTACTCTAAACCTTTATAATGCATATGTTTGTAAGTGGTGCGAGATGAACCATCACTCCCCGCGAGATTTTCTTCCGTTCTCCTGGTCTTTGGATGAGAGACCGAGACCACGCACCCCCAGGGTTCCCCAACCCACCAAGCCTCGGCCAAATTCCGTTTCGGGCTGCCCGCGTCGAGAAGAAGTGCAGCGGTGCCAAAATCCCACCAATTTTTTCTTATGCGATTGCTCCATACCGCCCCATCCCGCTGTATCTCATCTCATCCTTCTAAAACCCACCTAACCCCATGGATTGCTGCTCTTCCTGCGTTTGTCGTGCCAGGCAGGTCAAATCAGTCGTCTCGTCCTGCGCTTCCCTGCCCGCCGCCACCCCACCCACACCACACCACACCGCCATGCGCCATGCGAGCAAGCCATGGTAATTCCGCCTTCGTCGGTTGCTTGCAGATGTGTCATGTCGTGTTGTCCGCCTCCCTCCCAAGTTCCCAACACCCTCTTCCTTCCAAATTATTCATCCTTCAGGAGGGATTCCTATTGCGACTGCTGCTGCTGCTACTGCTGCTGCTGGTGCTGCTGTTGTTGCTGCTCCCTAGCTGCTGCCGCTGTTACTGTTGCTGCTCTCTAGCTTTATCTCCCTCTTCCCCGCGAACGCAGCCTTAAAAAAAAGGTGCGATTCCATGTGAAAGGGAAAAGCGCGTTATTTCAAGCAACCTTGGTGAATGAGCTGTTTTGCGAACGAGGCGTATACCTATCGGTTTAGAGCGGTGGCATGAACCTTCCCTCGTTGTTCTAACGCCTGCTCACCGCAGGCGATAGTAGGAGGTGGCATATGCCCGTGAATCTTCAGGCGATTTTAGACGCGACATTTTAGGGGAAATAGTAGGAGCTCGGAAAACTATAAGAGCTAGGCGGCGGTTTGGCTGGTGCGCTTTATTTTATCCGTTAAACGACAGCAGCAGTAACGGGCATAGGTTCTATCAGGACTCCTGACCGGAGTGATACTACTACTATCGACTAAATCAGCGCCGGAGTAATACGGGAGCAGTCAGTCGCGGGCAAGGGAAAAACGAGGAGTTTCAGGCTGAATTCACCCAGGTGGTTTGCGAATTTCGAGGAAAAGGAAGCAGTTGTGGATTCAATTCTGGGAAGGAATTTTGGGAAACGAAACGAATTTCGGAAAGAGAATTTGACCAGCGAGGAGGCATAAGGCGCGCTGGTTTTGAGGCGCCTCAAAACTAAACTTGAATCACGCACAGGTATAAGGCGCGCTGCGCGAATGGCGCGAGACGCGGCGACGGTGCACGACGGTCGCGCCACCGCACCTGCCGGCCGTCTCACGCGACGGTGGGCTGGCGGGAGGAGCGCGGGGCCGCCGCCGTTGTACACGTGCGGGCACAGGGAGCTGTGCCGGCGGGAGGAAGGGCGACGGGCGCCGCTGGCGTATATGCGCGCTGGCGCGGGGAACGAGGTGAGCTGCGCTGGTGGTTGGGAATGAAGGTTGTTTCTCCCCTGTTCTCCAAACCCCCCCCCTCCTCTTGCGCTCCCTAACGTCTTCCCCCTCCCCCCCCTTACCCCCTTCCTTTCTTCCCCTCTGCACCACTCCTCTGTCTTCACCCTTCTTCCCGCGCAACCACTCGTTGCCCCTCCTTGCCCCTCCTTGCCCCTCCTTGCCCCTCCTTGCCCCTCCTTTGCCCCTGGTTGCCCCCGTTGCGCTTCCCGCCCCCAGCGCCTGGTGTCGCGGCTGGAGCTGGCGGCCCGGCTGGAGAGGCACCACGAGTGCGTGAACACAGCGTCTCTCCCCTGCTTGGAAAAGACAGTCCCCCTCTCCCCTCCCTCCCGCTCCCCTTCACCCACACCCCCCTCCCTTTTTTCCGTTCTCCCAGCACCTGGCATCTCGGCTGGAGCTAGCAGTCCGCTTGGAGGGGCACCACGGGTGCGTGAACACAGTGAGCTTCAAGCCGTGCGGCGACCTGCTGCTGTCGGGGTCGGACGACTGGAGCATCGTGCCGTGCGACTGGCCGCTCGGGCTCCAGCGCGCTTCCCTGCTCGCTCAACCTCTCTCCTTGCCCCCCTCCCAGCTTGCTGTTTCCCTGCGCGTGCTCCCCATCCCCTCCTCGTCTCCACCCCCTCTTCCCGCTCCCTCCCGCCCCGGGGAAAAAAACATTCTCCCTTTCCCGCCCCCAGCACCTGGTGTCTCGGCTGGAGCTGGCGGCCCGCTTGGAGGGGCACCACGGGTGCGTGAACACAGTGAGCTTCACGCCGTGCGGCGACCTGCTGCTGTCGGGGTCAGACGACTGGAGCATCGTGCTGTGGGACTGGGCGCAGGGGGAGCAGCGCCTGCGCTGGCGCTCGGGGCACGAGAACAATGTGTTCCAGGCGCGCGCCATGCCGCACACGGGGAACAAGACCGTTGTGTCCTGCGCTGCTGACGGCCAGGTGGGAGAGTGGTGGGTTGTGTGGGTTCGGGGGGGGGTAATGTGTGTCTGTGTGTGTCTGTGTGTGTCTGTGTGTGTCTGTGTGTGTCTGTGTGTGTCTGTGTGTGTCTGTGTGTGTCTGTGTGTGTCTGTGTGTGTCTGTGTGTGTCTGTGTGTGTCTGTGTGTGTCTGTGTGTGTCTGTGTGTGTCTGTGTGGTGTGTCTGTGTGTGTCTGTGTGTGTCTGTGTGTGTCTGTGTGTGTCTGTGGGTGTGTCTGTGTGTGTCTGTGTGTGTCTGTGTGTGGTTGTCTGTGTGTGTCTGTGTGTGTCTGTGTGTGTCTGTGTGTGTCTGTGTGTGTCTGGTGTGTTGTGTCTGTGTGTGTCTGTGTGTGTCTGTGTGTGTCTGTGTGTGTCTGTGTGTAGTCTGTGTGTGTCTGTGTGTGTCTGTGTGTGTCTGTGTGTGTCTGTGTGTGTGTCTGTGTGTGTCTGTGTGTGTCTGTGTGGTGTCTGTGTGTGTGTGTCTGTGTGTGTCTGTGTGTGTCTGTGTGTGTCTGTGTGTGTGTCTGTGTGTGTCTGTGTGTGTCTGTGTGTGTCTGTGTGTGTCTGTGTGTGTCTGTGTGTGTCTGTGTGTGTGTCTGTGTGTGTCTGTGTGTGTCTGTGTGTGTCTGTGTGTGTCTGTGTGTGTCTGTGTGTGTCTGTGTGTGTCTGTGTGTGTCTGTGTGTGTCTGTGTGTGTCTGTGTCTGTGTGTGTCTGTGTGTGTGTCTGTGTGTGTCTGTGTGTGTCTGGTGTGTGTTCTGTGTGTGTCTGTGTGTGTCTGTGTGTGTCTGTGTGTGTCTGTGTGTGTCTGTGTGTGTCTGTGTGTGTCTGTGGTGTGTCTGTGTGTGTCTGGTGTGGTGTGTCTGTGTGTGGTGTGTCTGTGTGGTCTTGTGTGTCTGTGTGTGTGGTTCTGTGTGTGTCTGTGTGTGTCTGTGTGTGTCTGTGTGTGTCTGTGTGTGTCTGTGTGTGTCTGGTGTGGTGTGTCTGTGTGTGTCTGTGTGTGTCTGTGTGTGTCTGTGTGTGTCTGTGTGTGTCTGTGTGTGTCTGTGTGTGTCTGTGTGTGTCTGTGTGTGTCTGTGTGTGTCTGTGTGTGTCTGTGTGTGTCTGTGTGTGTCTGTGTGTGTCTGTGTGTGTCTGGTTGTGTGTTCTGTGTGTGTCTGTGTGTGTCTGTGTGTGTCTGTGTGTGTCTGTGTGTGTCTGTGTGTGTCTGTGTGTGTCTGTGTGTGTCTGTGTGTGTCTGTGTGTGTCTGTGTGTGTCTGTGTGTGTCTGTGCTGTGTGTGTCTGTGTGTGTCTGTGTGTGTCTGTGTGTGTCTGTGTGTGTCTGTGTGTGTCTGTGTGTGTCTGTGTGTGTCTGTGTCTGTGTGTCTGTGTGTGTCTGTGTGTCTGTGTGTCTGTGTGTGTCTGTGTGTGTCTGTGTGTGTCTGTGTGTGTCTGTGTGTGTCTGTGTGTGTCTGTGTGTGTCTGTGTGTGTCTGTGTGTGTCTGTGTGTGTCTGTGTGTGTCTGTGTGTGTCTGTGTGTGTCTGTGTGTGTCTGGGTGTGTCTGTGTGTGTCTGTGTGTGTCTGTGTGTGTCTGTGTGTGTCTGTGTGTGTCTGTGTGTGTCTGTGTGTGTCTGTGTGTGTCTGTGTGTGTCTGTGTGTGTCTGTGTGTGTCTGTGTGTGTCTGTGTGTGTCTGTGTGTGTCTGTGTGTGTCTGTGTGTGTCTGTGTGTGTCTGTGTGTGTCTGTGTGTGTCTGTGTGTGTCTGTGTGTGTTCTGTGTGTGTCTGTGTGTGTCTGTGTGTTCTTGTGTTCTGTGTGTGTCTGTGTGTGTCTGTGTGTGTCTGTGTGTGTCTGTGTGTGTCTGTGTGTGTCTGTGTGTGTGTCTGTGTGTGTCTGTGTGTGTCTGTGTGTGTCTGTGTGTGTCTGTGTGTGTCTGTGTGTGTCTGTGTGTGTCTGTGTGTGTCTGTGTGTGTCTGTGTGTGTCTGTGTGTGTCTATGTGTATCTGTGTGTGTCTGTGTGTCTCTGTGTGTCTCTGTGTGTGTCTGTGTGTGTCTGTGTGTGTCTGTGTGTGTCTGTGTGTGTCTGTGTGTGTCTGTGTGTGTCTGTGTGTGTCTGTGTGTGTCTGTGTGTGTCTGTGTGTGTCTGTGTGTGTCTGTGTGTGTCTGTGTGTGTCTGTGTGTGTCTGTGTGTGTCTGTGTGTGTCTGTGTGTGTCTGTGTGTGTCTGTGAGTACGAGGGGGTATATAAGCGCTCGGGCCATGAAACAACGTGTTCCAGGCACAAGCCATGCCGCACACAGGGAACAAGATCGTTGTGTCCTGCGCTGCTGACGGCCAGGTGGGAGGGAGGGGGCTGGTGGTCCAGGGAGGGGGTACGCGCGTGCGTATGTGGGGGGAAGGTGATATGTGGGAGGTCGGGTCGGGGCACGACAATAAGGTGTTCGTCATGCCGTATGCAGCCATGCCACATGCAGCCATGCCACATGCAGCCATGCCACATGCCTCCATGCCACATGCAGCCATGCCACATGCCTCCATGCCACATGCCTCCATGCCCCATGCATCCATGCCCCATGCACCCTTGCCACATGCAGCCATGCCACATGCAGCCATGCCACATGCCTCCATGCCACATGCCTCCATGCCCATGCATCCATGCCCCATGCATCCATGCCACATGCAGCCATGCCCCATGCAGCCATGCCCCATGTAGCCATGCCAAATGCAGCCATGCCGCATGCAGCCATGCCCCACGCAGCCATACCACATGCCTCCATGCCACATGCCTCCATGCCACGTGCATCTATGCCCCATGCATCCATGCCACATGCAGTCATGCCGCATGCAACCATGCCACATGCCGCCATGCCGCATGCAGCCATGCCGCATGCAGCCATGCCCCATGCAGCCATGCCACATGCAGCCATGCCCCATGCAGCCATGCCACATGCAGTCGTGCCACATGCAGCCATGCCACATGCAGCCATGCCACATGCCTCCATGCCACATGCCTCCATGCCACATGCCTCCCTGCCACGTGCATCCATGCCCCATGCATCCATGCCCCATGCATCCATGCCACATGCATCCATGCCCCATGCATCCATGCCGCATGCATCCATGCCGCATGCAGCCATGCCACATGCAGCCATGCCGCATGCAGCCATGCCACATGCAGCCATGCCGCATGCAGCCATGCCCCATGCAGCCATGCCACATGCAGCCATGCCACATGCAGCCATGCCGCATGCCTCCATGCCACATGCCTCCATGCCACGCGCATCCATGCCCCATGCATCCATGCCCCATGCATCCATGCCACATGCATCCATGCCACATGCAGCCATGCCCCATGCAGCCATGCCCCAAACAGCCATGCCCCATGCAGCCATGCCCCATGCAGCCATGCCCCATGCAGCCATGCCCCATACAGCCATGCCCCATGCAGCCATGCCCCATGCAGCCATGCCCCATGCGGCCATGCCCCATGCAGCCATGCCCCATGCAGCCATGCCCCATGCAGCCATGCCCCATGCAGCCATGCCCCATGCAGCCATGCCCCATGCAGCCATTCCCCATGCAGCCATGCCCCATGCAGCCATGCCCCATGCAGCCATGCCCCATGCAGCCATTCCCCATGCAGCCATGCCCCATGCAGCCATGCCCCATGCAGCCATGCCCCATGCAGCCATGCCTCACGCAGCCATGCGGCACACAGGGAACAAGACGGTTGTGTCCTGTGTTGCTGATGGCCCGGTGGGGGAGTGGTGGGAGATGGGGGGGGGAAGGGGGGGTGGCGGGGGGAATGAAGGGAAGGTTGTCTATTTTTTTAGCCGCCTCAAAAAAAAAATAGAGGCGCCTCAAAAAGGGAGGAAAGAAGGGAGAGGTTTAAGGATGTTGTGAGGGAATTGTGATTATTTCAGTTGCCACCCTCACTTATGTCTCTGTCTCATTCTCTCGCTCTTTTCACCTCTCCTCCACCCCGCCCCACCCCCCCACCGCCTGCCTCTCCTCCCTGTCCCTCTCCCCCTCCCCCTCCCTCCCCCCCTGCCCTTCTCCTTTTCTCGAAAACACACGCACACAAAAACGCGCACACGCACGCACCCCACCAGGTGCGGTGCAGCCTGCTGCGCGAGGGCGGCAGTGTGGACACTAAGCGGCTGGCGCGGCACCGCGGGCGTGCTCACAAGCTCTCAGTGGACCCCGCCTCGCCGCACTGCTTCCTCAGCTGCGGGGAGGACGGTGTCGTGCGCCACGTGAGTTTTGCGGATTGTGGAGAGGGTGGGAAAGGGTGGATGGGTGGCCGGGATGCGAGGGTGGGTGTATGGTATGCCTTTGATTGTGTTGTGGGTGCTAAAGCTCACAAGCTCGCAGTAGAACCTGCGTTGCCCCACTGCTTCCTCAGCTGCAGGGAGGACGGCGTAGCGCGCCACGTGAGCACCACTGGGGGAGTGCCACTGGGGGAAGGGAGGGGGGAGGTGGGAGGGAAGGGGGGGGATGTGAGGGAATTGTGATTATTTCTCCCGCTCTCCCCTTCCCCCGCCTCCCCACCTCCCTCTCTCCCGCTCTCCCCTTCCCCCGCCTCCCCACCTCCCTCTCTCCCGCTCTCCCCTTCCCCCGCCTCCCCACCTCCCTCTCTCCCACTCTCCTCCTCTCCCTCTCTCCCGCTCTCCCCCTTCCCCGCCTCCCCGCCTCTCCCCCTCCCCCACCTCCCCGCCTCCCCACCTTCCCACCTCCCCCAGTTCGACCTGCGTCAGGACCGCCCCACCACCAAGCTGCTGACGTGTCAGCTGATGCGCTCGCAGCGCGCCCTTGGGCTCAACGCCATCGTCATCAACCCCCTGCGCCCGCACCTCTTTGCCGTGGGGGGGGCAGACGAGTTTGCACGCCTCTATGACATCCGCAGGTGGGGCGGCAGAGGGGGGGAAGTGGGGGGGGAGGAGAACGAGGGGAGTGAGGGGAGTGAGGAAAGAGGGGGGAGAAGGGTGTGGTTTAGGGCGTGTCCGAAGCGTACGTTTTTGCTCAATACCCTACCTAACCGCACTAGAATGCTAATCGGTCCCTTGGATCCGAAGGGCACCTTACCCAACCGCAATCAGACGTACGCTTGGGACACGTCCTTAGGGGGGGAGGCAGTTCAATCCCCTGCGCCCGCTCCTCTTTGCCGTGGGGTGGGACTGGCGAATACACATGCCTTTATGACATCCGCAGGTGGGGCAGCAGGGGGGTGGGGGGGGAGTGGGGGGAGTGGGGGGAGTGAGTGGAGTGGGGGGAGTGAGGGGAGTGGGGGGAGTGGGGGGAGTGACATTGAGGACAGGAGGGCGGGGAAGAAGGGGTGTGGTTGGGGAGGGGGGAGAGGGGGGAGGGGGGGGGAGGGAAGGGGGTTGGGAGGGGGGGTGTTTCTGCACCCACGCCTCTTTGCTGTTGGCTGGGCGGACGAATTTGCACGTCCACGTTGTTGGTGGGGCTGACGAGCTATCTCGGGTCTATGCCACCCGCACCTGCTTTTGAGTCAAACCAAAAGCACCTCCTCTCTTCCCATGTTGCTCCCTCTCTCGCTCCTTCATCCTCCTCTCTCTCTCTCCCTCCCCCCTCCCCCTCTCCTCCCCCTCCCTCCCCCCTCCCCCCCTCCCCCTCTCCCCCTCTCCTCCCGCGCCCCTCACCTCCCCCACCCAGGCTGATGCCTGTGGCAGCGTCGTCCCTGCCGCCCTCTGACCGCCCGCTGGACACCTTTGCGCCGGACCACCTCATCCACAGCACCCGCGACTACGTCTCGCCCACTGTACGTCTTGAGTCAAAACGAGCACAAAAGCGAGATTACTGTCACACCTTTGCGCCGGACAACCTCATCCACCTCATCCACCTCATTCACAGCACCACACACGTGACTGCATCTCGCCCACTGTATGTTTCGAGTCATCCACCTTAGTCGACTCGAAACGAGATTGCTATCCGACCTTCGCGCCGGCCACCATATCCACAGCACCCGCAACTACATCCCGCCCACTGTACGTGCGCCAAGGGATGCTCCTCTCATGTTGCCTTGTTGCCTGCCACGCTGGTTGTCCCTCTCTAAATCAGTGACGAGCGTTGCGTCACATGTGTTGCGTTTTCGAACAGTGACGAGCTACTATGTGATTTTTGAGCCGACTCAGAAATCTCCTTGCCCTCTTTCCCCTGCCACGCTGGTTGTCCCTCTCTAAATCAGGTGCACATCACATGCGTTGCGTTTTCAAACAGCGACGAGCTGCTAGCGTCTTACAACGACGAGTTGATCTACCTCTTCCACCCGCACCACGGCTTAGGCGCTGACCCCCTCTCCGCGCCTGCTGCTGCTAGGAGGAGGAACAGAGTGAGGCAAGAGAGAGGGGAGAGCGATGGGGGAAGGGGGAGCAGGAGGGGGCGGAGAGGAGCGAGAGGGGGGAGAAGAGGCGGAGAGGGGAGTGTTCGTGTTGGGGAGAGGGCGCGGGCGAGGGTGAGTGGGAGTGGGGAGAAAGAGAGTGAAGGGAGAGAGGAAGTGGAGGAGGAGGATGAGGAGGGGCATAGGAGGAGGAGGAGGTTGAGTGGGGGAGGGAGGGGAGAGGAAGGGGGGGAAGCGGGGGAAGGAGCAGAGGGAGGAGAAGGAAAGGGTGTTGAGAAGAAGGAAGAAGGAAGTGGGGAGGGGCCAGAAGAAGGTGGGAATGCCAAGGTGCATCGTGAGAGCGGCGAGGTGGAGAGAGCGAGGGGGGAGCAGGGAGAGGGGAGGGCAGCACAAAGGGGCGAGAGGCAGGTGGGGAGGGAGAAGGAGGAGGAGGAGAGGGTGGGGCTGCTTTCAACACGCAGAAACGGGGAGATTGGGCGAGGGGGCGACTTGGGAACGCTGCGAGTGTGTCGAAACAGTCGCAGCGCCGCGGGAGAGGGAGTGGGAGAAGAGAAGGAGGAGGGGGAAGTGGAAGAGGGGGAGGAAGAGGAGCAAAAGGAAGACGAGGAGGACCCAGATTTACGGATGGACAAGGAGGAGGAGGAGGAGGAGGACGACGACGACGACGACGAAGCAGGGGCAGCAACAGCAGCGGGGGGAGGGGGGCATTTGGAGGGTATTCAGGTGTACACGGGGCACCGCAACGAGCAGACAGTGAAGGGGGTGAACTTCTTTGGACTCCGCAGCGAGTACGTGGTCAGCGGGTCGGACTGCGGCCACATCTACATCTGGCACAAGGCGGGCGGCAAACTCGTGGCCATGCTGCCAGGGGATCGGCAGGTGAGAGACGTGGCCTGCCCACTCGCATCCACCCACCCACCCACCCACCCTTTTTCAGTGTGCATCCTCTTTCCAGCATCCATCTCTTCTCTCCACTCACGCACCCATTCAGGTGGTGAACTGTCTAGAGCTGCACCCAACCCTCCGTGTCTTCCCGATTCCTCTCAGTCCGACCCCCCATCTCACGCTCATCCAACTCCCCTCTCCATCCACCCACCCGCCCACCCACACAGGTAGTGAACTGCCTAGAGCCGCACCCATCCCTCTGCGTCCTCGCCACCAGCGGCATCGAATCCAACGTCAAGATCTGGACGCCCACCGCCGCCCACCCGAAGCCCCTGCCGCCCAACGCCGCCCAGATCATGGCTGGCAACAGCCGGCGCCGCGAGAACCCGGGCGGCAGCAGGGGCGGGTTTCGATTGATCGGGCCAGAAGATCTAGAATTGCTGCAGATGCATCTTAGGGAAGAGCATGGGGATTTGTTGGGGCGAGATCGAGTGTTGACTATCAGAGACCTGCTTGCTCTGACTGCTGTTAGTGCGCGACGGGGTGGGAGGAGGAGGAGGAGGGGCGGGGGAGGAGGGGCGGAAGCGGGGGGAGGTGGAGGGGAAGAGGGGGAGGAGGAGGGGGAGGGCAGTGGCGAGCCTGCGGGCCAAGGGAGAGGAAGAGGGGGAGAGAGAGGGGGAGGTGAGGGGGGCAGCAGTGGTGGGGGAGGGAGGAGGAGGGGGAATGTGGGGGAAGCTGTGGGAGAGGAGGGGAGTAGGCGTGAGGGGGGTGAGGGGGGGCTGTATCCATGTGAGGAGGAGGAGGGTGATGAATTGGAGGAGGGGGAAGAGAGGGACGAGGAGGAGGAAGAGGAGGACGAGGAGGAGGAGGAGGAGGAGGAGGAGGATGAGGATGAGGATGGGGAGAGGGATATGCGGAATGAGTGCTATGTTAGCTAGTTGACTCTCCCATGCGTTCCCATGCCCGCTCCCATGCCCGCTCCCATGCCCGTTCCCATACTCTCCCTTGCTCTCCCACACTCTCCCTTGCTCTCCCATACTCTCCCTTGCTCTCCCTTGCTCTCCCTTGCTCTCCCTTGCTCTCCCATACTCTCCCTTGCTCTCCCTTGCTCTCCCATTCTCTCCCTTGCTCTCCCTTGCTCTCCCTTGCTCTCCCTTACTCTCCCTTGCTCTCCCATACTCTCCCTTGCTCTCCCTTGCTCACAAATGCGCTCTAATGCCCTGTCATGCCCTCCCGTGCACCCCCGTGCGCCCACGCACTCTCTCCCCACCTGGGCACTGTACAGCACTCACTGGTCCCCAACTCCCCAAACTCCCAAACTCCCCAAATCCCCAACTCCCCAACTTCTCAACTCCCCGGTCACTCCCAGCACGACGAGCGAGCCCTCGCTCCTGCCGTGCCCCTCAGCCCATCCCCACGCGCACCTGTACAGCACCATCTGGCCCATGCTCCCACTAACCACCCACCCCCCGGGCACCTCTCCCTTACCTCCTCGCGCCTTCCAGCTCCACTACGTGCTTGCCTTGCCCGCCTTTCCCGCCGTTCCCTCCTTGCCCGCGTTGCAGAGCCATCGCGCACTTCCCTCTGCTTGCCTTGCCGCACCTGCTTTTGTACATATTTAGCGTTGTGTCTGAACTACAGCTCATACGTATCCAGATGGAGGGTGACGGGATGAAGGGATGTGAAGGGAGGTGAAGGGAGTTGAAAAGCGGTGTAGGGGAGTGAAGGGAGGTGAAGGGAGTTCAGGGTCAGGAATGTTAAGGGGCGTCAAGTCCAAGGGACAGCAAGAGACGCCAAGGGAAGGGACATGCGCTCTTGGAACTTTCTTGGGACATGCTCTCTTTTACCCCTCTACCGGTATTCCTCCTACCTGCACCTCGTTATGGACCCTTCTGGACCTTTTTTGAATTGCACGACACTAGAGGTTCTCTGAGGCACCTTAGAATCCGCTCTGGCTTCCTGCTGGATGACCATTGCGCTATCTCCCTCCCTGGATCTTGTTTCATTGTACAGAGACTGCTTGCGAACAAGGGCATGTGTTGTGCACCTCCTGATCTGTACTGAACAGTACTTTTTCTGCTGACCTCTGCCCCTCTCGGCCGCTGCTGAGCTGAGAGCATCGGCTCTGCTTTGAAGGGCTTTTTGCTAGTCGACAACTTCGTCCAAATCAACAAGCTAAATCAATTAACAAACCCACAAGATTCCCACCTAAAAGCTCTCTCAATAGGTATCCCTAAACCCTCAAACCCTTCATGAAAGAGAACGAAACAACCAGCAGATTCAACACAAGCGCAACACGCAGTCAAAGCCACGACGGAACACGCAAACCAGAGGCCCAAGAAAGCAGCAAGACGCTCTAGTCCAGTGCCCTCTAGTCCAATCACCCACCCCAACCAGCCCAGCCAGAGAGGTCCCAGTACTCCACTCCCATCCTCTCCAACACCACACATATATTCCAGCAGCGGCAGTTTCCTTGCATCGACCAGTGCAACTCCTACCAGGAAGCTGGCTCTTTTGCTCCATCTGACACTTGCGACGAAGGAGTGAGCGAGTGGGCAGGTACGGGGCCACTTTTGAGACTTCGAGACGGTTCAAGAGCAGCAGTGGGCGGGCAGGTACGCTGTACGGTTAGACAGGACCCGCACTGGCAGGCAGTCAAGTCGACCGTGAACACAGGAAACACCAAGTCAGCTAACTCGTTAAGCACAACGCCTGTCAGGAATTGGCACCACGTTACCACGTTGTGCAGAGCTGAAATGTGTCAGCTATCGATGCCTGTTCCTCTAGGAAACAACAAATCAACTCTCGTATCCCTCTCTCTCCCCAGTCCCTCTCTTTCTCCCCCCCTCCCCCTCACAGCTCCCAGCAGCTTCGGATCATGTAAGCAGCGTGTGGCCCAGTCTCCTGGCTATGTGCCACCACCACCCCTGGCTACACCACAATCGTTCTCAACCCCACACCCCATCTCCCCCCCACTCTCTCTCCCCCCCCCCCTCCCCCTCACAGCTCCCAGCAGCTCCTAATCATGTAGGCGGTGTGCAGCCCAGTCTCCTGGCTGTGCGCCGCCACCACCCCTGGCTGCAGGATGATCCCCCTCGCACACAGCACGCGCACAAACGCCTCTCCCTGCACCAGCCCCAGCGCGCCTGCCCCCTCCTCGCCCTCCATCCCCCCTGAGAACACGTCTGGCTGGGACGACCCCACACACGCCCCCACTGTCGCTCTCTCCCACCACCTGCTGCTTCTCCTGCTGCTGCTGCTGCTGCCACTGCCGCCGCCGCTGCTGCTGTTGCTACCAGCCGCGTTCCCCCCTTTCCCAGTCCCCTTTCTGCCCCCCCCACGACCCCCTTTCCCTCCCCCGCCACTACGCCCTCCCCCAACCCTATCTCCCTCCCCCACCTCCTCCTCCTCACCCTCCTCTCTCCACGGCCGGTAAGCCAACGACACCGACCACTGCAGCCTCCTCTTAGCTTCCTCGTCCAAGCAATCCCCGTTCTCTGCCTGGGCCCATGCAGCCAGGGTGGTGTATCCCCCCAGCTGCACCGCTGCTGCCACTGCCACGGACTGCACTGTTGTCCCTGACTCCTGCTGCGGCGGTAGCCATAGCTCCTGCCCTTCCCCTCCCAACTCCCTGCCCCCTCCCCCTCCCTCCCCACCAACCCCACTGTTAAAACTCGTATCAGAGCTCCCATCCCCCCCGCCTCCTCCTCCTCCGCCTCTTCCCCACCCAAACGGATTCACCCTAGGAAGCACCAACGGCCCCATCTCACTCCAGTGCAATCCATTAGAAGCGGGGAGAGGGGGAGCGGGCCACACCCGGTTAAGAGCCGAGAAAGCCAGAACGACGTTATCTTGGGGCTGTAGGGACAGCTGCGCGAGCGAGGAAATGCAGAGGCCGGGGGAGGTGCCATCTGGGTCGGGCGTTACCCCCCAGCCGGAGAGGAAGTGCGCGAGGGAGAAGGAAGCGGAGGAGGAGCGCAGGGTGAGGGAGAGGGCTGAGCCCCGGGCGCGCCGATGCAGGGGCAGGCCCCCCGAGGAGAAACGAGTCAGGCCTTGATCCTGGGGGGAAAGGGGGGGGAAGGGGATGTGTGAGGAGGGAGGAGGGAGGCAGGGAGACATGAGGAGCACAGGGTGAGGGAGAAAGTGGAACTCCAGGCGCGACAGTGCAGGGGCAGGCACCCCGACTAGAAGCGAGTCAGGCCTTGATCCTGGGGCGAAAGGGGGGGAGGGGAAGGGGGAGAGGGGAAACGGGGAAGAGAGAGGGGGGGAGGAGTGGTGGAGATGGTGGTTTAGACGAGGTGCTCGATGTGGGTGCAACGAGTTGGGAGCATGAATGGCAAAAGGGGCATGCATGGCAAAAGGGGCATGCATGGCAAAAGGAGCATGCACGGCAATAGGGACATGCATGGCAAAAGGGGCACACAGCGAGAGCGAGGGCGCACCTTGAGCGGGTTGAGTGGCTCTGCTACATCCGACCCCACGGCTCCCAGCGGCGCTACAGCCAGCTGCACGCCGTCCCCAAGCGCGGCGCTGTAGAGCACCTTGTGGAGGTTCACAGGGCCGCCCAGCATGAAACTGCTGCTATCCTCCCCTAAACCCGACGTCAGCTCTGTCACCAGCAGATCCTCTCGTACCCGCCCTTGCCCCACCCTGCTAGATTCACCGCCGCCGCTGCTGCTGCTGCCACTGCTGCCGCCACCGCTGCTCTTGTTGTTACCATTGGAACCGCTGCTATTGTCATTATCACCGTTACCACCGCTGCCCCAGCGCCTACAGAGCGTGTCGAGCCTCAGCTTCACAGTGAGACCCGACCTCATCCCCGCCTGCTCCAAAGCCGCGCGCGCAGCGTGGCTCCGCTCCCCCTCCGCGGGCACGAACGCGGAACCCGCCGCCACCTCCCCGTACATGCGCGTGCGGCTCCCCCCCAGTAGCCCGAACCCTAAACCCCCGCCCAGGTCCACGCCCGCGCCCCCCGCGCCCCCCGCGCTGCCCCCGAACCCCGCGAGCCCCGCGCCTCCAGCGCCGGAGGCGGAGGAGGATGCGGGGAAGGCGGTGGCGGCGCCGAAAGGGTGCAGGCGGCGGATCCCGGTGTAGTACTCGAGCTTGTGAAGGCGGTCCTTAACTCGTAGCAGGTCCTGGAAGGCCTCGCGCTGCAGCCGCCGGAGCGCGCTCACCTGGATGAGGAGCATGGCGGTCCGGGTTATAAGAGAGGGGGGGGGGGGGGGGGGGGAACAGGGAAAGAGAGGGGGGGGCAAGGGGGCGGGCGGTGGAGAAACAAGGGAGAAGAGAGAGAGAGAGTGAAAGGAGAGGGGGGCCGGGGGCAGGGTGGGGGGGAGGGGAGTAGGAGAGAGGAAGAGAACGTCAAGGATGCGGGATACAGCGGCGATGGAAGGAAAAGGACGTACATTGTCGAGCAGGAATAACCTTGGATTAGAGGGGCTTATTTCAAAGAGGGCGTATCTCATCTCACAGCGCGATTCTTGGAGGGGTAGAGCGCGCATCGTACCTCATAGCGCGATCCTTGGAGGGGTAGAGCGCGATTCTTACCTCATATCGTGAACTTTGGGGAGGTACAGAGCGCGTATCTCACCTCAGAGCGGTGCGCAAACCCGTCTTCCGCGGCCCTCTTATCCAGCATCTGCACCACCAGTTCCGCCGTCTCCGCCATCAGCGCCTGCCGTTCCGCGCGGTCCATGCGATCCATGCGCGCAGCCGTCATTCCGCGCATCAGCCCCGCCAGCCAATCAAACATGCCCTCCGCGCGCTTGTCTTCCACCCTCCGCCTCCCGCTGCTGTTCCGCGGAGTGCCCGCCCCCGCGCCAGGTGCAGCGGAGGCGGTAAGAGACGCGAGCAACAAATCGGCCAAATAATCGGAAGACACGTCCGCTCGGGGCGCGTTCCGCCTGCCCCTACCCTTCCCCTTCCGCAACCGACCCTCCACATCCCGGCCCCTCTTCCCCCCGTCCCTCTCCCTTCTACTCGTCCCCGGCGATTCTTGATTACTTGTCTTCGCGCTTCCAGCAATGGGATTACCAGCTTCTCTCTTCGTCTCTTTCTCCTTCTCCTCCTCCTTCTCCTCCGCCTCCTGCCGCGCGTCTTTATCATGATCTGCACGGGATCCCATTTCCACGTCAGCGGAATTATTACTCCCACTTCCACCTTCGCCCCCTCCATCCCCTCCGCCCCCTCCGCCCCCTCCGCTTCCTCCGCCCCCCCCTCCTCCTCCCCCTCCTCCCCCATTACCGCGATTCTCGCCAGTCTCTCGCTGATGATGTCCCGCTGTCTTATCCATTTGCGCAGTCTTTTCTGTCGAGAACGCATTGGCGGAAGCACTCCCCGCGAACCACGCCGCGAAAGCCGCTGCGACACCAAGGATCGCCGCGCGATCGGCGCTTGTAGTCGTCGCCCGAGTATCAGCACTTCCAGCGCCAAAGCCGCTAAATGCGACAACGGGCCCGCTAATACCGCGATCGGTAAGCAGATCGAGTCCATGCCGACTGCGCCTCCCGGCTAGCGAATCGGCTTGTGGATCTAGATTAGTTAAAGTAGTCAGTTCCCCTTTCAGGGAGCACTTTCTGCGCCGTAAAACACCCTGCCAAGCTGACGACGAAGACGTTACGGACCAGAACGATCGAGAAGGTGAGGTAGAATAGGAGAATTGATGTCTCCTGATCGCATCATGCCTGCCTCCTTGCACAGATTTCGCGCCCTTCTGGACCGCAGTCGCGGGAATCACGGCGTGGAAGGCGGCGGGAAAGGCGGGTGGCCGTGTGATGGCGGATTGGAGGGAATGATCGGCAGAGACGCTGCGAGAAACAATGGAGGATTCCGGAGGTGCGCGAAGAGGTGCGCGGGGTCGCGGCAGTGTGGCCGCCATGGGGAACGGAGAGCTGATACAATCTGGTCGACACCGGCACGGAATACGCCGAATCAAAGCCGTAGATCTGGGTGAGCAGCCGTAAAAAGGGCGTTCCTCTTGCGACGTGGACGTGTCAATCAATTAGATACGTCAAACCTGGTTGCCGTTCTCCAGATGTAACCGCGAGAAGACGAGGCCTGATCTGGCCACCACCAGATCTGGCCAACAGATCGGTGAGTCAAGCACGTTTCAAAGACAGGTTGCGGAATGCCCCTCGCGCGGATGCGGTCGAGGAGGCCATGCAAGAGCAGAAGTGGTCACATCAAAAATGCTTCCTAGCTTACGCGGACTCGCCCTTATTTTCGATGCTGGCAGGGAAAGAGAGGGCGAGAGGGTGGGGAAGGGAGGAGGAATATGTTCAGTTGTTTGTGACATCACTACGAGGGGGCACCAGGGGGGAAGAGCTGCGTCAAGGTGTCGTCGATCAGGGGAACGAGCGTGGTGTGGTGACAACAAGCAACGGAGGTTGGATGACGAAATTCGTCAATTTGAAATCCAACCACAATCGAGGTCCAATCCAAACAGTAAAGACTTCCCGCCAAAATTACAGATCGAGCCCCGTTATAGCGGCCAGAAAATGCAATTCTCAACTTGAGTTCGCTCATGTTACAATTAAATTCTATCCATTTGTGTATTTCATATTTATTGCATGGGCTGGCACAAAAGCATCACTCATCCATACGTCAAAACGAAGTTATTACCAATATTAACAATTTATCGGGATTAATGCGTTTCCAGACAAGTCTGGTCTATGAAGTATTGGTTTTTTTTTTTTTTTTTTTTTTTTTTTGCGGAGCAACCTATTGCGATCGATCGGACAAGTTTTTTTTTTCAAGTTTTATCAAATTTGATTAAAAATAGGATATTAATTGAAGCAAAATGATGGGGAGTATTGGCAATATATTGTGGATGGCTCATCTAACCTTTCATAGCTTCATTAGCTTAGATTAGCTTGGCAAATAATTGAAACATGTGGCATATCACTATTACAACATAATACTTGAAACGAAACAAAAATGGAAAAGATTTCATGTTTTCCATCATTTCGCGATATGTGGAAGGGAGCAATTGAAACGTGTAATATAGTATAATGTAGTAATTGAAATAAATCGTCTGATGTTATAAGAGACTAAGTATAAAACTATAAATGCGAACACTTGGCAAATCCTCAAGTGTTGGTCCAGGATCTTTGCTGGAATGGTAGACTAGTAAGACAGCGGAAGTCTTGTAAAATGTAAAGGTCAAGGTTGAATAACCTGAGTATGTGAACTTGTGAGTAAGCAAAGTTAATAATGAAAAAGACCTAACAAGGATTTATAGTTCTAGAAAAAAATACCTATTCGCTAATGTACCTTTTCGTCACTATATGCGCCCTAGATGATAATGGAGGGGTGTGACTGTTCGCGTGACTGAAACGACTGTCCTATGACGAGTGCTATTTGCTAACGTCATACTTACGGACTTATCTTCTACGGTATGATTCGACACTAACTACACTTAATCGACTTACGGAAATGCTAAGTATCAATTATATCACAACACTCCCCTACATTTCTGGAAGTTCGATAGTGTCACTTCTTGAAGATTCCGCAGAGCTTGTTACAGTACTGAAACTTCTGTCGTGTCAGCTTCTTTGTGAGGAAATCGGCAGCCATTTCGTTGGTCGAACAGTAGACCAATCGCATTCTCCCCTTCTCGACTTCGTCCTTGACGAAAAAATAACGCAGAGAAATATGTTTCATCCTGTTGACGAAGCCAGACTGATGTGCGATACGAAATGCACTTTGATTGTCGCACTGTAGGGTAAACTGGGTAGTCGTCGTCAACTTCGCTTCTTCCAATAGTTCATGTAAGTAAAGTCCTTACAACTCCTGCGTGTTGCTGTGGAGAGAACAATCAACTCCTGCTTTGTCGAATTCCAAGAAATAGGTCCGATAGGTTCAAGCCGGTATATGAATCCAGTGCGCGACCGTCGGTTAGTAGAGTCAGCAGCGTGATCGGCGTCGACGAAACCATGTAGATATAGTGTTTTGCAACCGATGACGTTGTAGACTAAACCGATGTTAGGTGTCGAGATGAAATACTGAAGCGCACGGAGAAGATCAAGCTGATGTTCTTTTTCGGGACGGCGGAGGAACTGAGCGAGCTGACTGGCCGCGTAGGCTAGATCGGGACGACATGTGACAGCGGCGAAGAGTAGACAGCCCAAGAAGAGGATGTCATCGACGTAGGCGACGAGTAAAATGTAGTAGCTGCCGTCGTTTAGAAGATACATTCCCTGGTCATGCGGTAACAGGATGAGTGCGTCGACGGGTCCGTAGAGAAACGCTTTTGATACGTCGATTTGTCGAAGTCGCAGATTACGGCAGGCAGCGACACGGATTAGAATCCGAACGCTTGTATGTCGGCCGACAGGAGCAAAAGTTAATTCATAGTCGATGCCGTAAGTCTGTTCGAATCCGCGGACGACCCATCGCGCCTTGAACTTTTCAAACGACCCATCTGCATTAGTCTTGACGCGGAAGACCCATTTTCCGGTAAGTACCTTCTTCCCTTTTACTTCTGAAGTCGGTATTAAATCCCATGTTCCGCGATTCTTGAGAGCTGCTAGCTCTCTGTTCATGGCTTCGCGCCATTTCTCTCGGTAAGGGCTCGTAAGAGCTTGTCGGACGGTTTTCGGTTCAGGTATCTTACTGTTGTTGCACTGTACTGCTACTGCAAATCCTAGTATCTGTAATCCTGTTTCTGTAAAGCGGGGACGTTCTTCGTTTGCACCTGCGAAATTTTCTTCTTCTTCTGCTCCTTCTTCCCCCCCAATTTCGTCAGGTGTAACACGAACTGCTTCGTCGGAGACGGCGGGCATCGGCTGCTGTTGGCGATCGCGTTCATAACTGAGACGGACTTCGCGAACGTCATCCAGGTCAGCATCTGCAAGCAGAATAAACTCTGGTATGCCAGTCGAGGTTACAGGTTCGGGAATGTCAGTTGCGGCAGCTTCGGATGCTTCAGAAACTGCTTCGTCCTGTACATCAGCTTCGGCCTCGTCAGTTGCAAATGCACGCGAGCCTTCGAACAGCCTGGCGGGGTTGGCAGCTGCTGCCTGGTGGGCACGAAAAACGGGCAAGATGAGTCGTTCGTAAAAAAGACAATCACGGGATGGGATGACTTGGTTGGAGCGTAGATCCAAAATCTTCCATGCGTGATACTGTTTTTCGATGCCGAGATGTACCCGCCATTTTGCTCGTTCGGAAAATTTGCCGAGGGCCGCAGTTGGAGGAAAAAATTGTACAACACACCCAAAAACTCGTAAAAGTTTGGTGTTTCCCAATGTACGTGTCCACTGCAGGTGCGGAGAAGAAAACTCAGGCAGGGACGTTGAAGAAAGAAGATTGTGTAACAGTACGGCGTGGTCCATCGCATACGGCCAAAAACGCGGTGGAAGCGCTGCTTGCGTCAGCAGAGCACGCATCTTCTCCTGCAGAGTCCTGTTCATCCTTTCTGCTACCCCCATCTGTTGGTGTGCATGTGGCAGAGACTGCTTCCGTTTGATGCCGAGGGTCTGAAGGTATTCTGTGAAAGTGTTGCTGGTGTACTCCCCTTCACCGTCGCTCTGGAATTCTTGCAGTTTCATGCCAGAGTCTCTTTCAGCGACAGCGAGCCAAGCGACGAAAACGGAGTGCGCGAGATAACGCGCGGGAAGATTTGCTGTCCAGACATAGCGTGTAGATGCTTCGATAAATGTTATGACATACTTCTCGTCTTGAGGTCCTGCTTCAGGTAAGTTTAGTATGTCGCTGTAGACTTTCTGCATCAGTTTGTAACGAGTTGAACCAGGAAAGTGGCTTGGAAACGGATCGTGGGTAAGGTTGGCAACCGGACAGGTGGTGCAAACTGTCGGTCGAGACTGCGGCTTCAGCTCCGTGCCGTCAGGTAAAAGTAGACTATTTTTATCAGGAACTGCTGCTCGGATTGAATGATTAAGTATCCCTTGTGATGGGTGGCCTAACCGCTGATGCCATATATCTGCTATGGCTTTGTGTCCTGATGAGCGCAGGTAGAAATCGGAGTTAGTATAAAAAGAAGAAAGAATGAAATGAGAAAGTGCTGGTGACTTTTCAATTTCTCCTTCAACGAAATGGGTAAGAGGTAACGTGACATTTGAAGGCGCTGCTGTAGTTGCGAGTACAACTGTTGACACTGTTTCTGATGATGTCGTGGCAGGACCTTCGGCGACAGCTACTGTTGGACTCGGCTGCTCAGCTACTTCTTCCTTTTCGGCTTCTTCAATGACGTCAGGTTCATCAGCTGCTAGTCCACTAATTTCTCCCCGAAGTGGTGCTGCAGTTCCTTGGAAGGCGGCACGGGTATTATAAAACGTTCGCCACGCGGTGGAACTTTCATCGGCGGTATTGAACTCCCAAGTATCCAACGTGGTAAGTACGGCGGCTGCAGTTCGAGAAGCTGTTGGTACAGTAGTTGCTCGAAAATCAATATCCACGTATTGATAATCTGTTTCTTCTGGGTGATCCCAGGGACCAAATGCAAGCACGCGTTCAGAATCTCCAGAAGTTCCCTGTGCTGCGAACTGAAGAACTGACACGCCATGTTGAGTGGCGGCACGACCAAGATAAGTATTCGTTGAACTGTGCTAGAGCTCCTGATCCATCATGTCACAATTGCCCTGTGTGCGGATTTTGTGTGCCAGAAGTTGAGCCGTGGAAAGAAGATTGAAGCCAAGACCATCGACGATAAGAACATTGGTAACATGTAGTGAGTATCCCGTGTCGATAGATTTGAGCATTACGCTTCCAACAGAACGTGCCATAATTGTTTGTCCGTTTGCGACTGTGACAGGTATCGGACGACGAAGTGGGCGCTGGTTGGTTATGAAGCTTGTTTCTGCAGAGCACATGTGCCAACCGCAGCAACTGTCGAGATACCAAGTATTCGGACCTGAAATTATGCGAGCAAGGTTAGCGTAAACTTGAGGTAAAGGAATGCCTTCAGCACTTGTTGTTTCTTCAAGTCGTGTTTCGAAATCTGTTTTTGAAACAACAACTGTGGTGACGCATCCAAAGACCCCTTTTCCTGATGTGGCAGATGCAAAGACCGGCGGGCGATGCTGCGACGTCGATGGATTCTGCTGCGGTTTTGGCATCTGCTGCTGCTGTGACTGTTGTGTCTTCGGTAACTACTGCGATCGATGATACGGCTGTGAAGTGCTGCGACGATTTTGATAACGGCTGCGACAGTTTTGGTAAGTATGTCCTGTTTTTTTACAGAAATGGCAGAATGGATACTTCGGTGGATGTCGATGCTGTGGTTCTGGATTGGAG